AGAACTGAAAGATGCATCTTTAAAAAATTTATTTTCAAAACTATTTATAATTCCAAAAATAATTATGATCCATGTCTATTCACCATAACCTTTGAACATCTATACTTGTTCTGTTTTAAAGTCCCTACTTGCTTCCCAAGTGGAATTTTCATCCATCTGTATTAATAATGCTTCTTTCTCTTACAGATTTGTTTCTGTGTCTAGGGGCTGGAGAGATGGCTCAGTGGTTAAGAACACTGGCTGTTCTTGCAGAAGACCTGGGTTCGAATCCTAGCACCCACATGGCAGCTAACAACTGTCCATAACTCCAGTTCCAGGGGATCTGACAGCCTCTTCTCTTCTCAGCGGGCATTGCACAACACAGGTGCACTTACCTACATGCAGGCAATACCCGCATACACATAAAAATAATAAATAAAATATTAAAAAACCAAATTTCTTTCTGTATCTTACCTTATGGTGTTTTCCAATCTTCATAACAGGTTCTTCAAATCTAACCAATAGTTAGTCAATTCCCATAGACTTAATCCATTTCATCTTAACCTGAAGTAGGGTAATACATTACTAATTCCAGACTAAATCCTCATTTCCAGTAAAAGCAAGGGGCTTGACAGGTTCTGGAATTGTGCAGTTTTTATCCAGGATCTAGGAATTACACTTGAAAGTGGACAGGATCTATTCTTCTGTGGACAAGAGACTGTCCTGTCATCATCAGGAATGACTTTGTGAAGCTGGAGTAAATGTTGGCTGGGGATGAAGGATGGGAAGGCATGAAAGACTAGACAGTAGAGGCTGCTTTGCCTTTTAACAAATGGATTTTTTTGAGGTGGTGGGGAGCAGAGCACAGTCTCACTGTGGAGCCCAGGTTGGTCTGAAACATGCAACAATCAACCTCTCTTTGTCTTCTGAGTACAGGGATTACAGGTGCATACTACTATGTCCACCACAAATGGAAAATTGAACCCTGGTGGTGCAATGGTAGCTCAGCTGGTTGTAGAAGTCAGAGCTCCAAAGCTGAATAACCCTATGTCTATGGACCACATTCACAATATAATTGCAGCCTTTGAAAGGGCGCTATTCCATCTCAATCTATATTTTAATTTTTAAAAATATTTTTATTTATTATTTTCATTTTATGTGTATGAATGTATTGCCTGCATGTATGTGAGTGCACCCATGTCGTGCAATGCTGCAGAGATCAAAAGAGAGTTTTGGATTCCCCTGGAACTGGAGTTAAAGACGGTTCATAGCCGCCATGTGGGTGCTGGGACTCGAACCCGGGTCCTCTGCAAAAGCAGTCAATGCTCTTAACTGCTGAGCCATCTCTCCAGCCCTATATTTTAATTTTTTAAATATTGTTAGACAGCAAGGCTTAGGATGGAGAGAAATCACTCTTATCATGCCCCCTTCCTCTCAGTTCAAATGGGGCTGTGAAGTTAACAAGAAGCCAGGTACAGTGGCACACACTTGGAATTCCTTTACTTGGGAGCCTGAGGCAATAAGAGTCTAAGTTTGAGGCCAGTTTGTGCTACATAGCAAGACCCTGTCTCAAAAAGAATCAATTAGTAACCTTTGGAATTGCTTGTTATGTGCCAGGCACTGTGTGAAGTCTTTATACCAGGTGAGTGTTCAGTAGGTACAATTTGTGCCTACTGATATTGAATGGCTTAGCCTCCAGTCTGATGGCCTCAGGGTGTAGACCTGCCAGCCCAGCTTGTAGTCCCAGCCACTCTGACACATGCATGCTGGAAGAGGCTATAACACAGCACGCATCTCCCTTCCCCTAAAAGCTTCCTAACTTGACATCCTGGCCCTGAAATAAAGGCTGCTTCACAACATACAGTCTGAGCACAAGGGAGTGAATGTCTGAATGTCAGTTGGCACAATGTTGCAATTCTCTCACATGTGGGTTCAGGCTCGGAGCCAGGCAACTAAGGCCATGCTGGGAAAATGGTTTCCAACTCCCCATATGCCCCCACCATTTCCCAGGAGAGTGGAGTGCAGAGTTGCTCTTTTCTCCTTTCCAGAAGGAGCAGAGAGACGCTTCTCAGCTCTTGGTGGAGGTGTCTTGTCTTCCTCTAGCTGCACAACACAAAGCGAACCCTACTTGTTAGGCAGTACTCACCCTGGTACAGGCCGGGCCCATTAGCTCATTCGGATTCTTTAAGTTTATTTTGCTTGTTTTATGGGGCTTCAGAGAGGTAGTGCTTCTCAGGGAAGAGGCAGGGCCTAGATTAAAATCCAGGCCTACACTGTGAACCACAAAAGCCTATCGCTTCTCTCAATCAGGTCAAGATGCTGGGCAAGTCTTCCAGACTCTGGGGTTCACTCCAGCTAAAGCCCTGATCTTCCCTGACTCCTCGATCAGTGCCATATTCACCTCTTTGTCTTCTTAGCCTGTGTGTGTGTGTGTGTGTGTGTGTGTGTGTGTGTGTGTGTATGTGTATCAACCCAGAGTCACTTGATTCGGTCTAGGAATTTATATTTGAAACGAAACTATCTTTTAAATTAATATTTTTATTCTTTGAAATTTTCATACATTTATACAATGCATTTTGATCATATCTACCCATCATCCAATTCACGTTGTCCATATGCACATGGGTGTGGGGCCATCCACTGGGGCGTGGGCAGCCTACCAGGGAACAGTGACTCTCTTGGGGGAGAAGATTATTATATCCTACCTGTCCATCACTTAAAACCCTGACCCTGGAGAACTTCATGATGGAGAGTTGTAATAAATAAAAAGTAAACTGGATAAGGGGTCTTCTGGTCGCAGTATAGGGAGTCTAGGTTGTGTTCTGGCTCTCCTGCTGCTGCCTCTTAAGTCCCTGTACTTCTCATTTTCTCTCTGCATCAATTAAGAATGAAAGGAAGGGCCTTCCATGGGACAAGATAAAGGGGAGAGAAATGGCATACAGAAAACCCTTTGCTTGTAGGAAGAAACAGATTGGTTGCCCTGAAGTTAAACAGAGTAAGGCATGCAAAGCTTGGTAGCTCAGGCATGGCATATGGTAGATCCTCACCATCTGTGTGGGACATCGGGGAGATGGCTTTACTGGAGCCAGAGGACTGACCTGCTGAGTCTCGTGAAGCTGGCTGCTGGCAAAGTGAGACCATTCACACAGTGCTTTCCTGAGCGTGCCTTCAGGGTACAGGTGATGACATGCCACGGCTCCCAGGAAAGTGACCTAACTTGGATTTTTCTCTATGGACACAAAATTAAAAATGCAAGTAAAAGTAAAATACAAGTAATCCTTATTTGCATGGTGATGGGAAGTTTATTTTTCCCAGAAGCTGTGTGTCAAAATTCAGATTAAAAAACATTTCTTAATAATGATTAATCAGCTCTATCACAAAGGAAAAAAAAAAAAAAGAAAAGAAAACAACTAAGGAAATGAAATGCTAAAGAAATGAGGGGAAAAAAAAATCTCAAGAAAGGTGGACCCACCCAGTAAACCTTGACAGCCTTTCCTCTGATCCACTGCATAAAAGTAAGCAGCTCTTTCCAAATGGCAAAGAGTGGAGACAGCTCCAGAGCGGCCTGCCGGAGGAACTGGAGAGGTGATGCTGGAGAGGTGAGGCTGGGCAGGCTCCCTCTGGGGTCATTCCTCACCGCTGAGGTCCTCATCCTTCATTCTATCAGGGGTCCCTGTTCTGTGTGTTCCAGGGCACTGAGGTGATTCTTTGCAGAATGTGGAGGAGTAATGGGGGAAGTATGAATTTTCTGGTAGCTTCTTTTTAACAAAAAGAAACGGAGAAAGGAAAGAAAATAAGAAAGAATCAGATGTCTTTACTATTGCTTTTTCATTCCAGAAACTTAACTCTTTGCAGTCTTAAATATCTTTTAAAAGATATTAAGGGACCTGGTTCTGAGGGACCTGGTCAGTCTGGTATGGGAAGAATGATCATGAGCTCCAGGGCAGATGTAAGAAGGAAAGTGCTTTATAAGTAGGGGGCATAAGCTATAGGAGTGTGTATAGGCCAACTGCTCACTTCAAGTCCTGGCTCTGGCCAGTGCTTTGCTTCTCTAACTCTTAGCTCCCTCCTTGGTAAAATGTGGATAGAAACAAACCTTCTCCAGGTTTGCACAGAACAAGGTAATTATGCAGATTGTCTCACAGTGCTCAGCACCTGCCTGATATAATTGTTACTGCCCATTGCTATCTGAGTTGGTCAAGATGCTTCGACTCTTTTTTCAAAGGGGTAGCTCCGGGGACCATTTACAGAGTTCCTTGCCAATGGGGTCTATTTGTTTGTTCTTCGAGAAAAGAAACCAAATTCTGTAAGACATTGCTTGTCATTCCGAGAGGTCTCAATATACCTGCTGATGGTCTGGGAAGGAAGCAAACTAAGAGGGTGCAGGGACTTGGCTTCCTAGAAGAGGAGTTTAGGATCCCAGAAGCATATGGGCTGTGGCAGTGAAGAGAAGGGACAATGTCACTCACATAGGCTTTTTTTTTTTATAATTTATCCCCCCAAACCACAGTTAGGGTATAGGAGCTGGTGCTCCATAGCCCCCAGGTGGCTCCCAGTGCCTCCAGTGGCACAGAGGAGACACTGACCTCAGCTCAAGTGAGAAAGAGGGAGAGCACTTCATGGTGCCAAGGCAGAATTGAGGCAGAGAGCAGGTCTAGCCACATGTTACCATAAGATTTATCTTTAAGGTTAAGCTCTGTTTGTAAAGGTTGTGCTACTGGGAGGAGGGTGTCAAAGAACAACCCTAAACTGTGTGGGATATGTGACACACTTCTCTGCATGCAGTTAGTTCCAAACATGATTTTAAACAGATGACACTTTTCATAAAAGGTGCTGTTTACTTTAGGGACAAATAAACAAAAAACCCCAAATGTGCTTTTACGGGTTTTCAGATCTGTTGCCCAATCTCTTTTCCTTTAGTCTGGATTTGGTTGCCACTGGTCCCAAGAAGGAGCATGTAGTGTTTTCTCTTTCACTGCTGTCCACACTCGTGGGGCAGTTGACATCCACCCTTTCTGCAGGACATGAAGGCACAGTGCATTTCTCACTGTCTCCTGGGCATGACACTCATCCTTTACTCGGTACACACCCACAGTCTCAGGAGATGTCTTATTTCTGTGGATATGCGCCTTATAGAAAAGAGTTTCCATGAAATCAAAAGAGCCCTGGTGAGTATGGATCGGGTGGAGTGGGTAAGGGGCATGCCTTACTGTTCATCCCAGCTTGAAAGGCAAGTTCCTTCCTGTTACCTGTGATAGCTCATGAGAAAGTAGAGGTCTCATTATGTTTGTCCTTCTGTTCTCCTCCACAGCAAAATAAGGATACTTTCCAAAATGTCACTATCCTGTCTACACTGCAGAGTCTAAAGACCATTAAGGTACCAATTGGTTTGTGTTTGATTTGTTTGTTTGTTTGTTTGTTTTTGGTATTTTTGAGGCAGGGTCTCCCTTGTAGCTCAGGCTGGCCTGGAACTCACATATAGACCAGGTTGACCTTGATCTTATAGGCCCTGGATTAAGAAAGAAATCCATACCCAATGTACTTTTAATGTTTAGGCTTATTTGTTATCTAAGGAGTTTGGGCACATTAGTATCCTAGTGATTTTGAAATAATGAGAGTGCTCAAAGAAGTACCATTTCCCTAGAGAGTGATGGGTGTGCCAGGTACTGGTAAATCTTGGACGGTCCAGGTACTTCAATGAGCAGGGTTTCAGTGGCTTAGGGACAATTTGGAAGATTCCAAAGGGGAGAAATGAAGAAAACAAACAAACAGTCATTTAAAAGCTGAGGATAAGTGGATAAAAGGGAGGATTTGGGTTATGGGAAAATGGATGTAAGATCAATGAAGGCAGGATTGTGGTAGGGACAGTGAGGTGAGCAGGTTTGGGATGCAAAGGGCATTCAGGAGAGGTTGAGGGATGAAGTGAACAGCTACTTTTGAAGCCAGGCTGAGCCTTGCCTTTCTAAAAGAGACAAAAGAGCTGCTGAAGGCTTTTGGGACAAAAGTTATATGACTGAAAATCTGGGGATGTGCTTTACAATGGCAGCTCAGGACAGAAGAGCCAGCAAAGGTGCCAGCCCCATTATCCAGACAGGAGGGGTAGAGAATGTACTAAACATTCAGTTGGCTTGCCAACTGATTCTTCACATTACAAAAAGGGCCTGTGAAGTACCTCTAATGTGAGCCCTTAGCCAGGCCTGGTGGCACATGCCTGTAATCCCTGCCTTCTGGAGTCAGAGGCAGGAGGGAAGTTTGAGGCCAGCCTGTCCAACACACTGAGTTCCAGGTTAGCCATGGCTGTGGTGATGTAAAACCACAGCTTTTACCTAAAAGTGGATGAGAGATAGTTTATTCTGGAGTCGAAAATGAGTGACCACAACCTGGGAACATGGATCTAGGTTATCACAAACGCCATGATCCAATGCATTCCATTTCATGAAGGTTTTATAGTAACAGAACAAAAGAAAGTCATAAATCAAGGCATTTCAAAACTACATTGATGGGAACATCAAGCAGATAGATTACAGCAAAGTGGGTAGTCTCTGGTATAGGCCTCAGGTACTATCTGATGACATTCTTAACTTCTGGGAAGTTAGTAGTCTATCGCACATTAAAGTTTCATCTGACAGTCAGACACAGAGGCTGGCTATTAAGGGGACTAAAGGTAACCTGAGATAATTTGGCTCAATTTCCCACTCTCATGGACATGCTAATCAGCCAGGAAACCTTGTAGAATCTTTGGCATAGGTTAGGCATTCTTTTGGGACCTTCAGTGCAGTTAGATAGCAAGACCCTGTCTCAAAAGCAAAGGAAAAAGGTGAACTCTTTTGGCCCCTGGAGCTATTCTACGAAGATCCAGGTTTTGTTTTTGTTCTTTTTTTTTTAATTTTAAGGTATTTATATGATAAAATAAAAACATGTATCTATGAGAAAATTGAGACTGGAAGGTGGAGGAAGGTGAGTAAATGGCCAAGATAAGAATAGACCCTCAAGTTCATGCTGCTGTTCTGGCTCCAGTTTCTTTTTCTTCTCAAGGTTGAGAAATAGCTGATGTAGAATAAAGGAAGGAAGGATAATTCAAATCTTTATCATATTTCCTTATTGCCTTCCTCCCCTCCTTCTTTCCTTCTTTGCCTCCTTCTCTCACTTAAAATTATTGTTATTATTATTATAATTAGTGTGTGTGTGTGTGTGTGTGTGTGTGTGTGTGTGTACTTGTGCAGAGGTCAGAAGACAACTTTTGGGAGCTGCTTCTCTCCTTCCTCCATGTGGATTCTAGGGGATGCAATTCTTGTCCTCAGGCTTGGCAGCAAGTGCCTCCATCTGCTGAGCCTGCCTGCCTGCTTGCCTTTTCTGATGCTTTCTTTTGTCTGGTGCCACACTCTTTAATAACACGGAGGTGTGTAACTTTTTCCTCTCTGGATAAGGGGCCCAGTTAGAGCAGAGGAAGAGAATATTGTGTGTGTTCCAAGCAGGTGATGCTACCATCTGAGAAAAGCTGGAGGCTGATGTGTAAATTTGAAGTACTTCACTGGAGCTGTGAGTGTAAACTGCTAGAAGGAAACTGTTTAGTTTGCTTCTCTGGGCTTTGCTTTGAGGGGTTGGCCGTCTTCTCTTGAGGAGGTCTGTGCCTGTTGCAGTCCTCTGACCTTCCCAGATGCCGCTCCTTTTCTATCAGCCTCTAGTCTTGCAAATATCAGCGCTATTCAGAAGTTCCCTGCAGTTTAGAAGAAGGACAGGTTAGAACCCAGCAGTATAGCTCAGAACACAGTAGCCAGGATGAACAGGTCATGCCTAGTATGCCTTGATGTCCAGTAGCCATGAACATGAGTACTGAGGGGTGAGAGACATTACAGAACTGAAAACTTTGGCTTCTGTAATGCAAGAAAGTACTTTACAAGAAAACTCCTTAACCCTATTGTAACAGAGGCACCTGATTCCTGGAAGGATTTGAGAACTTACTGTTACCATGCTGGGGATGCTATAGAAAAAGTTCTAGTCTATGCTGAGATTCTGAGCCCTGTTCTTTGTTATATCTCCTGGCTGTACAAAAAGAGATGTAGCTTGGCTACAGGAAGAGGCAATTATAATTTTAAAAATAACATTTAGTTCTTTTACTTCTTGTTGCTTTGTTTTCTAAAATAGCAATTAAAGAGGGCCACTAGGGAATTCTCTAATTTGTGTCTCTAGCCCATAGATGTGTGCTGCGTAACCAAGAACCTCCTGACATTCTACAAGGACAGGGTGTTCAAGGATCATCAGGAGCTGAGCCCCCAGATCTTAAGGAACATCAGCAACATTGCCAACTCTTTCCTCTACATGCAGAGAGCTCTGCAGCAATGTGTGAGTCAGGATTCCAAGCATCTGTTCCCATCTGTCCAGAGAGGGCTTTGGGCTTGTGGAATCAGGGAATTACCTGCCTTGCCATCCACATTGGTGTCTTTCGAGACCCTTCTCCAGTGGTCTCTCTAGTCTCAGTGCTTTCTGTCTGTTGACACCTCATCAGATGGGTCTCCATGGATAATTTTCCTAGAGTGACCAGCTGATGTCCAAGGATTCCCTAAGTGAGAGACATGCCAACAATTGCATTCTTACCATGAACACACCTCTTCTGATCCTTTGGAATTTCCATACTAAGAAACTTCTGAGTAGTAACCTGGCATGGCCTATCTCTAAGGGTCACTTGTGACTTGTTAAAATAAAAGATCAGAAACAAAAACAAAACTAACCAACAAAAACTTAGGCAAGATACAACACTGGGCTCCAGCTCACACCTGCTAATGAGTTCTTGTGTGACTTTGTGGCAAGTGACTTCACCTCTCTGTGTTTCAGATTCTAAAATTGTTAGAAGAGGTAATGATCCTTGTTCGGCTTAAAAACTTCAATAATGAAATCAAATGGATCAGTTAATTAGCCCAACAAATGTTTGTTGAATGCCCACATTGTGGGGTGCTGCAGTCACAGAATTCACTGTGATAAGACAGATCTGATGCTTGCTCTTCTGTTGCCAACCATCTGGTTGACAGAGGATGCAGAAAAAAATGAATCCAGGGTCAAATGCAGACTACCTCCACAAGTGGACCAAATTCCCTTCTGGCTGCTCTCAGCTGAGCTTTCTCGGCTGACCATAGAAGGAGGGACTAGTGTCACTTCTCATGTGAGGAGGAGGTGGTATGAGAGTCCTCTAATAAGTGCTGTCTCCATGTATCACCGCAGGGGCAGAGATGGTGCCAGTGCAGTCAGGAAGCCATCAATGCAACCAGAATTGTCCACGACAACTACAATCAGGTGAGGTCTGGGGAGCAGAGGGAAGATGGAAAAACATGGATGAGAGAATGCTGGTATTTCAGCCTTCACTCCCCGCAAAATCATTCGTTTTTTTGCACGTCTCCATTGCAGACCCGCCCAAGTCAATGCCTACAAAGTGCATGTTGGTTGTAGGTCATTGGCCAGTTCCCTGGGTCCCCTTCTCTATCCTTCCTTATACTGTTTTTGTATGCCTTCATTTCAGACCTAACCTTCATAAAATACAGATGATACCAAAGGAGCAAAGATCCACAGTGAATCTGAAGCTGTTACACATGAAACATAACACATGTAGTGTCCCCACGGTCAGGACTTGCCATCCTGCGTACACTGGTGTCCACTGAGGCTGCTCACACACATGTTGATGTAGAAGCAGTGTTCCTATGTGTGTCATATGGAGATTTTACTGAAGTGCAGATTATGGCTCAATAGATCCATGTTGAGGCCTCAGTTTCTCATTCTGAGCACTCTCCCAAAGGATGCCAGTGCTTTGAAAAGATTAAGAGCATAGACATTAGGTCTGTTCAAATCTCTGCTTCAAGGACAGTCTCCATTAGATAATGCTGTACGAAAAGCAGAGTCAAGTGATTCTTATTATAAGCCAGATATTGTTCTAAGCCCACTGGAGTATTGCCATGTTAACCCTTCACAGTAAAGCTCTGAGTATGAGCTCCATTTCATAACTTAGAAAACCAAAGCACAAGTGAATTAAGCAACTTGACTAAGTTTCTACTGCAGTTACAAGGTTGGGATAGAACTTAAACCCATGCTAAGTGGCTCTAATGTATGTGTTTTCAGGTTCTTCCACCTCCTATAAGGGTGCAGAATAAGTCAGGGATTGCATCCTAGGTCTGGTTCTTTTACCCACTGACTGTGTGATGTTTGGATAGACATTCACACCTGGGGCTTCAGTGTCTGATATGTCAGTAGTAGCTGCATGCTGTCCTTACTTTGGGAGAGCACTGAGGAGACTAAGTCACGCTGGGAAACAAGAAGTATTAAACTGAATTGGCATGGATAGAAAACAAAGAAGACACAAAGCACTGCCCAGCAAGGGCATATCTCCTGTGAAAAGAAGGGGAAAAGGGAAAGGAATGAAAGGTTTTAAAGTTTTGTTTATGAGGAGCTGATATGATTTAAAATATTTGTAGGAAAATGTGGTAAGCTATTAGGAAAATAATTTGTAATTCTGCATACTATATAAATGGATTTGATAAATAAAATGCAAATCTCATAGGGATCAGATTATGGGGACTTTACTATGCAAACCTTGGCATAGTCACAGATAGGGCCTCATGATGAATGTTTTGATTTCAGCTGGAAGTTCGATCTGCTGCCCTTAAGTCCCTGGGAGAGTTGGACATCTTTCTAGCCTGGATTGACAAGAATCATCAGGAAACTTCTGCTACTTGACACCAAGAGCCTTGTCTGATTACCAGGGATACACAGCCCCCTGTGGTGTTTTCTGTGGTCAACAGTGAACTTTGAAGGGGAGAGAGGTGCAGAAAGTCCCCATAGTCATCCAAATGGGGTCTTTCCCAGTAACCTGATAATTTAGAACTCTCTCTTCATAGAGTGAACCTCATAGGAAAAACTGGGGTTTGAGTAGATCTCTCCTTGCTGCTGAAGCTCCCACTGGCTGACCTGAGCTCTCCGATCCCCCTTGAAAATAGACAGACCACCTGCTATAGCACTTATAGTGAGCTATAGCTGTTGAAAGACTTAGAAGTCATTGTGGAAGAAAAAGTCAGCTCCTCTAATTTATTGTGAAGTAGTTTCACCCATGTCTGCACCAAGTGATCAGCTGTGGTACATATTATACTGACTAACATTTATTAATAAACTGTGCTTTACCTATGAGAATAAATGTCTTCTAACTCAGGCAAGCTACATTAACAAGCTTAAAATGGAAATAAAAGAGACCCACTTAACCCTATCGAAGTACCACTACTAAATACAGCAGTACTTTTAGCATCAGGTGTATCCATCACCTGGGCTCACCCCAGCCTAATAGAAGGGAAATGAAATCACATAAATCAAGCACTATTAATCACAATTTTACTAGGACTTTACTTCACCTTACTTCAAGCATCAGAATACCTAGAAGCACCCTTCACAATCTCCGATGGTGTCTACGGTTCTACATTCTTTGTAGCAACAGGATTTCATGGTCTACATGTCATTATTGGCTCCACATTCCTACTAACCTGCCTTCTATGACAACTAAAATATCACTTCATAAACAGAAAACTTAGGCTAGAGGAAGATAAAAAATTACATAAATTTTAAAAGAAATTAGAACAGAAAAGTGTTCTGACAAGGCACAGGGCTCCTCTTTTCCTTGCTGTAACAAAATATCTAGGCTGGGTAACTTTGTCTAAAAAAAAAAGTCCATTTAGCTCACAGTTCTAGCAGTTCAAGGGCATGGAGTTGGCATTGGCTTGGCTCTGCTAAGGACTATATGGCGGGAGGTTTCACAATAGACGGACTGTGTACAGAAGGAAAACATCATATCTTAAGACAGAAGCCAGAGCAATTGGGTGTAGGGAGAGGTTCACTTTTTTTTCTTTTTTAACTTCCTAGACTGTGCTTTTATCTCTAGAAATTCAATTAGGTGTTTTACATTTACACATAGGGCACAGGTGAAGGTACCCTGGGGCTGTAGAAGAGTAAGAAAAAGATGACAGAAAACCTCTTGGTGACTAGGAATGGGAATTTCCAACGTCAGGGCCTGGGTGCCCAGAACCATGTCAAGGGAGGTGGAAAGTCCATTCTTGAGAATCCATTCTTCCAAGACTAGAAACTGCAAGAGACAGAAACTTCCCTGACCCCAGCATAAGCCCAACACAGAGGTCATGTACAACCTGGGACCTTGGCGGGGTGTGGGTTATGGGAAATGCGGTCACTCAGAGAAGGCTGAAACTGCTGTCCAACATCTGCACGGCCTCCATTCTCCAATCTACTCCACCATCAGGCCACCATCAGAGGAATGTAAAACTGTGGCTCATGCTAGGGGACCACAGCTCCAGCTCACAGGGTGAGGAACCACAGCTCCATGCTTATAGGAAGAGATCGTAGCTCCAGGTTCACAGGAGGGAACCACAGCTCCAGGTTCACAGGAGGGGACCACAGCTCCAGGCTCATAGGACGGGACCATAGGTCCAGGCTCATAGGAAGAGACCATAGCTCCAGGGTCACAGGAGGAGACCACAGCTCCAGGTTCAGGAGGGGACCACAGCTTCAGGTTCATAGAAGCAACCACACTTCCAGGCTCATGGGAAAACTCATAATTTCAATTATGTTGGTTCATACCATTTTCCTGTCTCCATTGCTCTGTTTACATGATTATACTTGTATTTAAGAAAGAACATTTTGGCTTCTGTGAAGCAAACAGAGGTTTTTGTCTTGTTTTCACTAAAGGGACCTGAATATTGGAAAAAAACACTTTTTGCTTTTGTTTCTCAAGAGATTTGTGATTAACTGAGGTAGAATTTTAACCTCTCATCTCACAAGTTATGCTTGAATGAATGTGATACTCTTAAGAAGAAGAAGAGGGCTGCTTCCCTGGGCCTCCCCCCCCCCCCCCCCCCACACCTTGACTCTCCTCCCAGTCCTTGTCTTGGTGCCCCAGGCACCAGGGGAACCGCCACTACTTCCTGATTCTTTGCATCCAGACCAACCCAGTTCCTTCTGGGGTCCCCAGGAGCCCGCTGGGCCTGGCCCCTCCCTCACCTCTCTCTGCTTCCCTGGTCTGCACAACCCACTAGCCTCTCTCCTGGGAGCCCTCGGGGCCTGGTCCCACCCTCATCTCCTTCTGTTTCCCTGGGCTGCACAACCCTCTAGTCTCTTTCCTGGACATCAGGGCTGACCTTTTTCTCTTCCTGATCCTTTGCATACAGACCAACCCAGCTCCTCGTTGCAGTCCCCAGGAGCCCTTGGGGCTGCTTCCCACCCCCATCTGCCTTTGTATCTCTGGGTAGCACTGCCACCAGCTGCCCTAGACCAGCATCTTTCCTGGGCCCTGCTCCCAGGCCAGTCCGACCCTCCCCCCCAAATTCCTGAGGCCAAAATCTTTCCTGGAGGGATCCAGACCTTAGGAGAAAGCCTGAGAGCATCTGATCCTCATCTGACTTGGGCCTCTGTAGGAACTCCTGAAGACAAAAGCAATATGGCCACTCCAATATAAGATGAAGAGAGAATGGGAGCTTAGAGGAACCAGCTTTTCATGTGCAAAAAGTAAACCACAAAGACACATAAAGTTTACAAAAAGAAGCAGACGTAAACTTGAAGGCTTGAGTCTCACTCAAGAATCAGAAACTACAAAAGAAATTCACATGTCAAAATCATAGAGAAAAAATAATAACATGAAAAACCAAAATAACATATCCCCACCAAATAACAATAGTCCTCTAAAGGAGTGCAATGAGAATCTCTTAGATAATGCAGGACATGGAACTCATGTTATAAACGTGATAAAAGAATTCAGTGAATTTAAAGAACACACACAAAGAAATCAAAGAACTGAAGGAAGATAAGGATAAACTTCTGAATGAATCCAGAAAAGAGTGAGAAATATAGAAGACTGCTCAGGCTGAAATGAAGGAAGTGAAAAACGCAGTAAGCCAATTAGAAATGAAAGAAGAAACCCTCACCAAAAGGATGAATGAAATGGAAAACAGAATATCAAGACTGAAAGATAAAGTGGACAAACTAGACCACTCAAGCAAAGATTATGAAAA